ATTTCTTTCAAAAGGTAAATAATAAATAACTTTTTTTATAAATTAACTTGTTTAACTTGTTTTTTTTTCTATACAGTTTTTCTAGGTCGGTTCAAGTATAATTTTTTCCTCATAAAACATACTGCTAATTCTTGTTAAGCAATGAAAAAGTGACAGATACCAGTAACGGCAAGTCACAGATCATGGGTTTATTTCTCACACAGACATGCCAGATCACTGTACATGGGGTGAACGATTTTTGTGTGAGGGATACCTGTACCCATTTTAACAATTGCTTGATTAATTTCGCAATAAAATATTCATCATTGTTTCTTTTTCTGTCAAGATTTTTATCATGTCAAATATACTAGGAAAAAGATACAAAGATTCATATCTAGAAAGAAATATTAATTGGATGATCAGAAGTAATGATCCAACACCACTTGAATTTTTTCGTTTTATTTTTCCAAAACAACGTAATATGGCATTTGTAAAATATCATGAAACACTTTATGAATCTCTAAACTATGCTGAAGATCAAGCAGTAAAGGAAAAACTTGAAAAAATAAAAAAAAATCTCAGTGTATGTAATTGAATATGTTTTTCTCAAAGCACATTGGTATCATATTTTAAAGCAAGTTTTCTAAGATCTCTGCTCTCTATTACTAGGAAGAAACAATTCAGAAAGATTGGATAACATGGACTGAAGAGAGAAAAGCTGTATGTATTGCATGCTCAGTTATCACAGACTTTCAAATTTATTGCTAATAATGATATTCATAATTTAGGTTGAGATCCGTCATTCAATAATTCAAACAAATGTGAATATTCAAGGAAAATTCAATTCATTAGTACAAAAGGAGGTAAAAAAGAAGTCATGTACTATTCACAACGTGGTTTGGTTTGCTTGCACTAAATGAACATGTCAAATTTTTTATTATAGGATATTAAAACACTTGATTCTGGTACATAACCATTTCAGTGGGAGGTTCAATTTGAATCTCTATTTAATGAATACTTACTAAATCTTACAATTCTAGAATTTGAGAAAAGAATTTCTGATGATGAGGGAGAAGAATCTCATGATGAGGAGGATGTGGAGGTATAGAGTTTTGGTTCAACTTTCAACTGTATATTGGTACTTTAAGTTAAAATTTAATGGTAATTTTTCTGTTTCTAAAGGCAAATCCAATTAAAAAAATTAAATCAATAGTAGCAGCAACAACACCCTCATCATCTCAAATAGAAACAAGAACAAGAATAACTGTTTTAGAAGAAGATGCTGCTGAAAAGGGTGTTGATAGAATTGATCGGGTATAATTTTTGAATAATTTGCAAGATGCATATTGTATTTTAAGCCAGGTTTTAATTTTGATCCTTTTCTTTATGTAGGTTTGTCAAAACTCCAAAAGAATAAAATTAGTAAGTTGGATTTGTCAAATAACTTCTCATTTCTGATTCTAATCAATCCCCTCTTTTAATGTAAACAGAATAATGAAGAGATATGTACCTCTGACATCAATTATTCAGCAGATGAGTCAGATTGGATGCTAAGCACTGGAACTAATGTTTCAGAAAAATTAAGAACTTACTCCAGAAAAATTCCAGCTAAAGAAGCATTTCTTCAGTAAGTATATATCATGCTAAACAATTTTTAAGCTTGTTACTAATTGCCTGTTATATATCTTATCTTAGTCCAGCATATTTTGGGATCGTAGATTTAAGTGGAGAAGACATTGGGTTCAAAAAAATATTCACTGAAATTGAATGGTCTGAAATGATACAAGATTTAAAAACAATGTGTCACTTACTGATTTACAAGAGGAGGAAAGCAAAGCTCTCTTTGATTTAATGGATTCAATAACAAAGGTCTGGTTTGAATAGATTATTGTTATTTTGATTAATTGTCTCAAGTTACATATCAATAAAAAATTATTTCTCCTAAACAGGTGATTGCACAATCTCCAAAAGACCTCATCACTGAAATTGAAAAAAATTGTATCATTGAAGTAAATGACAGTTCATTGATTATTGAATTTCTCAGAAAAGTTGATTGTTTTTTTTTAATCCTTATTTTTGTATTTTTCTATCAAGGACAATACCAAAATCAATGCAATAAGACGCTTGATTCAAAACTAGTGGGTTATTTATTTATTTTTTTTAATAATATTTCCATGCATATTTTATTTTTTTGCTAAGGTAATATGTTTTATAAAGTGCTTTCAACCTTGAATGACTTCCAAATTCAGTGAGTGAAGGATATTTCTCTAGTTCATTCACAAATATGTTGACCAAAGGTATCTTGACTTATGAGCATGGTTTATCATATGATGAGTATGTTTCTTAATTTCTAACCTTTGATATGTGTTATATTTTTGAGTCATTCATCAACTAAATTTTTTATTATTTTTAGAGGTGAGACACAAAGCTTAGCATCAACATTAATAAAAAATTTGGATCAGGACCCCACTAGCAGAAGCATCATAGGTCAAAAATGTGACTGTCGTGTTCATAAGGGTGGTTTTGAATATGTAATTGGACTGAGGTCTGGAGGGCTACCTGAGGCAGCCAAATCAAAAAAATGGGGGGATAAGGTTGACCTTGCTGTTGCAATGAGAGATGTTTTACTAAAAGAAGGACTTGAAAACAATGGAGTTGATACAGAGAATTTTAGGAAAATTTTTACTCTGGGAATGCATAGTTATGGTAAGATATAAAAAGATTGCAGAGAAGCTGTTTCTAAGGCAGAAAACTAACTTTTTTTGAATATGCTAGGATACAAATACAATGTTTATGGAATTGACTGGAAAGCCAAGAACCTTTGGCGGTTTGGACTACTTCAAGAAACAAAATTACCACAAATTATCAACCAATTGCCAATGATTGAAAAGACCATCACTTTGTTGTTGAGGGTTGAGGTTGGTTTAAATACACATATTTTTGATAATGTGATATTACCTTTTTGCTTATCACAACATATCCCATTTACAGAAAACAATTAGTGTTGCTGAAAAAATTAGAAATAGAGTTACTTTTGAAAAAGCTAGGTTATACCGCAATCGAAGAGACTCAGGATATTGTATGCCATATTCAATATGTACTGTAGGAAGGACTTCTAGAACAAGAACAGTAAAGGAATAATATTTTAAAATACATATAGGTTTTCTATAAAGATAGATAGTGAATGAAATCACTTTTTTAAAAATAAATTTGGTTGAAAGGATATGACTTTATTAGCAATGAATTTAGGGTTCTAAATAATTTTTTTTTTGTTATCAACAATTGTTTTGTTTGAGAGAACAAAGGAATAACTGTAAATCAGACAAACAATTAGTGTATATATTAACATCCAAATAGTTTTGATAGAAATATTTATTATATTTGTTGACCTGTCCATTTTAGTATGATTAAGTCTCAAAATAATATTTGTAAATAAAAAATTGTATGTTCACTCTTAATTCTACCCAATTAAATTCATTCAAAAGCTTGTAAAACTAAGCTAGTTTACATACAATGAATCCTCCATAAATGTACACCCTTCATACTTTGCACTGAATGATCTTTTCTCATTCCCTATGCAAAGTTTAGATACTTATTTTCTACTTATTTTATCCTTATTTTTTTTAGTGAAGTACATTTTAAGTATGTTTTAGGGTATATTTTAAGTACATTTCGTAAAATGATGATTATTAATTTTTCACAGAATATACTTATTATATCATCAAAACATCCTTATTTTTTGCAGTAATAAGAAAATTTGTATACTTAAAACATAATTTCTACGTAAATTTAAGTATGTTTTGAGAGCATAACAAGAATATTTTAAGTGTGCGAACTTTGCATAGGGATTCATACTCCTATAAAACCATTTTCTCTAAATACACACCATGATTTCATGTGATCAGTTTGTTAAATAATTCATCATTGTTAGATGCACACTTTTTTTTAATATTCAGTGATGAAGAGAGCAAAGGATTAAGTTATTGTTACTTATACTTATAAAGAGTTAAGTGAGTGAATGTTTACTAATTCTTTCTTTTTAATTGAAAAAGAGCTATTAGAATAATAATGCAAATGGAAAAACATTTATGGGCAAAATCATTAAGGATTGTCTTTTTTTTTCTTAATATTTATGTGTAATATTAAAATGACAAAGTGAACAAAAAATTATAAAATTATATATAGGGATAAGTGTATATGAAAAATATTTGCAAGGGTAATAAATGCAATGGTTCTAATGAATATTGAAAAGCAATTTATTTTTTAGAAAAAGGTTGTAAATGTGGTTGCTCTTCAAGAATTCCCAAAGAGCAATTTGCAGAATTAAGGGAATCCTTTCAAGCTCTCACTAAATTAGAACAAGACATATTTTTGATGTCCCAACTTAAAGCAATGGATGGTGGAACAATATGCACCAGTACTACCTAAATTATTCGTAATGTTTAGTGGTAATATCCGAGGATCGGCCAAGGAAGGGCTCGTGAAATGTTAAAAACAGTGACCTATCTTCCATTTACACACATAGTTAAGAATGTTCATAATGGATAAATTACTTCTGATCTTATCGATGTCTTGATCGTTGCTAATTATTCTTTTAGTTTATAGCTATGGTCATATCCATTTTGAATCACTTCTTAGTACACTTTTTAACACAGACCTCCGAGATCACTATCAAAATAACTGAATCAGTTGGTCTATTTCAATGCAAATCGGTAGACTTCCAAACCGTTGTTATTAACATTCATCGTGACATTTTTTTCATTTTTTTTAACAGCTCACGACATTTTGTTAAATTTTTTATTTTTTTTTTGATTATTATTTTTATTTTTGAGGAAAATTTTTTAAAAAAAAACGGGATAAATAAATATTTTCTTCCATTCTAACGCCATTAATGATTCCATAAAGTGATATGTAATTATCATAAAATATTGATAATTATTTTTCTTCATAAGATGGAGTGTTGGGTATTGATTGATGGTTCCATTATAACGCCGTTCATTAAAAACAAGTTGAACACAGAATTAATTGTTAGAGATTCCATAAAGTGATATGTAATTATCAGTAGCGCCTATTGCCATTACCATATGATGGCCAGCAAGTGTTAATGAAGTAACTTGTGCACCCCAACCCAAAAACCCTGTATTGTAGCGCGTTACTGAAAGATTTGCAAGAGTGGTTGTATTCCATACTTTGATCAATTGGTTTGAATAGACGCTTTTTTAGTTTTAATAAACATAAATATTAATACAATTTCAATGCATTTATTTGAATAAAATTGAGCGATTGAATAAACAAAAAAGATTTGATTTACCCTGCCACAACTTCTGCATTATGATGAACATCCATAGCATTTAATTCAGATTTATTAGGATCATCTGAAATTGTTACCTTTGAACAGTTGTTTCTTAAATCCCACAATTTTATTTCTCCAGATTTACTTCCAGATACCAATTTGTGCCCTGCACCTCTTTGCCAAACAATATTTATTATAAAGTTCTTATGTTCTTTACTTGTCATAATCAATGCATCTCTTGGTTGAATACGTCTATCAAATAAACGAACCGCTCCATCTGCATACCCTGCAGCAAACAAGTCACCACCGTCACTTGTAAGACTTGTAATAGAACTACCCGACCTTGTCGAAATTGACTAATAATAAAGTTGATGATTATGATAATAAAAGTAGAAATGATTTGGTTTTTTATCAATTTAATGTTTCTAATAAATTTTTCCTCATGACCTACCGAAACTGTAATTTCACGTAAAGCGTCCCATACTCTAATCACTCTATCATCACCTCCAACCAAAAGTATTCCACGAGATTGTTGCCATTCTGCTATTAAGCCGCTTCTTGTGCTATTTGGTAAAATTTCTGGCATGGCTCGCCATGATGTCACTAATTCAGTTGAAGAAGAAGAACTATAATTGCGGAATATTCGAACAACTCCATCACCTTAAAAATTGTAATATTTAGTTGTTTATTTTTTCATAAAATACAATTTTATTTTAAAAAAGAGATTGAATATATTTGTATTTACTTGATCCTGTAAGTAGCATTGATGCATCATCTTCATTTATAAATTTTAATGCTGTGATTTTACTTTCACCAGGATTATCATTTGTAAAAGTATTAACACGATAATGATCCTTCCAGTTCCACACACTAGATTATAATTATTAGTATTTTTTTTTTCTTTAGAAATCATATGATTTTTATCCTATAAATTACCTTATTGCATCTTTATTTGCTGCAACAAGATATGGCTCAAATTGATGAAAAAGTAATTTTGAAGGTTCTGAATCGTTATTAAACAAAGCTACCTGTTTGTTCCATCGACTCGACCCTATATAATATATATTAAGAGTGTGTATATATATATAAATCATAACTAATTTTATGGGGGGAACAAACAATTATTATTATTTACCGGCAACTTCTTTCAACGGTTTTGTGATTTGTATTAAACTCTCATTTCTCTTATGTCTCCATAATCTTACATTATCATCAACACTTCCAAGCTGTTCGGATTCAGCTGGCTTTGATAGGTTTAAATGGAATGATTAAGTATATATGTATATATATATATATATATATATATATTAATTTATTATTATTAAAACAAATTAAATAAACGATAAATATATATTTACCCTCATTTGTGATTCACGAAAATACTCACAACTCCAGTCGAAGAATTTAGATTTTAATGGTAGTACTTCATAATTTGATGAATTGGTTCTATTATTTGATGATTGTCTATAACCTTCTATTTCTTGAGAACCTTGCTCATTCAACACATTTCGAATCAATGCAGCACAATTTTCTTTTATATTAGGTTGTAATAATTTCTCATTTATATAATCAATCACAGTCGTAGCAAATTGGTTTACTTCAAAATCGGAGTCTGCAGATAAATTTAATAATGCTTTCCATACACACGAATAGACTGAACTCGATCGAACTTCTCTAAACTGCCTCGTTGTTAAATTTCTTCTTCTTATTTCTTGTACCTCTTCATAAGCTGCTTTTACAAATTGATCCTGATATTGATGAACTATATGCGAAAGTGCAATCACTAATTCTCTTCGCACTATAGGAGATGCATCATTATTTGCATCAAGTATATTAATGGCAATGTTATGATCAATATTAAGAACTTGATCTGTGCGTTCTAAATCTCCAATAAACGTGCCAAAGGCATAAAGTGCTGATGCTCTAACCTCAGGAACCGGATCGTTCAAAAGATTAAATAGTTTCAAATGTGCTTGATTTTCAATACCATCATTTTTAGCATCTGGATAATTTAACCAATACTGACCAATACACAAGCATGCCCATTGCCTTAATAACGGATCTGCATCATTAAGACGTGCCAAACACGCATTTAAGACATTAGAATTTTTACAAGCAGCTTGTCCTTGATTAGAATTGGTACAAAAAACTGCTAATATGAAGGCACACATTGCTCTATGTTCTGATTCATTCGGAATGTTTAAATTGGTATTTGGCGATAAAATATTAACGAAATATTCATAACCTTTGTCTTTTAAAAGATCTTGTTGACAAGATCTATCAACAGCTAAAATACGGGCCCAAATAAATACCAATGGTGGTTTTAAATCAGCAGCAGGACTTTGAAGTAATTTCAATACGTAGGGAAATATTCCTATGGAAAGTGCTAAATTAACTGCTTTTGGACCCAAGTCTAGATATTTGCTTAATAACCCAAGAGCTCGAGATCTATGAGCTTGACTTAGAAGAACTTGTAGTACGATAGGTAATTGTTCTGGGGGTTTTTGCGAAACCGAACCTTTTGATAGCCACACCTGGAAGGCTGTTAATTGTTCATCAAAAAAAGTAGAATGTATATATTCCACATCGCCACCATTTTTGTCCGAGTTTAGAAGAGCAGGTAACTGTGATAAGCACATGTCTACAGCGAGGTCCCATGAATCCCACATTGGATGATCGTGTGTGTGTGGTAATTTAGGATATGACATTGGATTACATTGGTAACGTCTCATTATTCTTTCTGCCAATAAAAAATTTCTAAATAATGCAGCGACCATTAAATCTTGACGAAACAATTGCTTGAAAAGATCGCGTGAAAGAACATTCCAGGCAATTGTGTCAGTTATTGCAGTAAAAATCCAATTTAATTCACCTAAAGGTGTACGACGATCTTGTAATCTTCCAGGGAGTTTAATCACCATATCCACAGTTAAATAAGATGGTAATGGATTTTGTAACACAAACCAACGTAAAGCAATTTCGATAGGTGATGTTAAACATGATGTAAATAAGTCTGCAGGAAGATGTGGATGCATCGGCAGAGTTTCATTTGGACCACATGCTGCCAAATGGATATTCATAGGAGTTTGCGAAATATTACCATTGGAGTCATTTCTTGAAGATTCTAAATATCTTTGTTCTGAAAATCTTTTGAAGCTCTCAAGAATATTTCCAGCAGCTGAACAATCATAAACATAAATACAAGGTGAACCAAGCCATGATTGTAAATCACCCAAAGATACTGGAATATATTGTGTAAAAAGCTTGTTAAAAAACCATATTTCACCACTTGCTGTGGGTTTTGGAACACCGTGACCATTATAATGAAACAAAACTCTTTCTTCTTTGGCATTTTTTCTAAGACTTGTGCAAAACTTTTTCATCTCATCAACCGAGGGGTCAAGATATTGCCTATAACGGGTTCTGACACTAAGCTGTTCATATTGTGCTTGTAGATTTTTGCCAATTGCGTCTAATGCTTTTGGTGGTGGTAATGAAAATGGATTTACCCAGCATTCAAGTTTTGCACATGGACTTGGTTTAACTACATCGGGTGGATCAACTCCAATATTTAAGCATAGAACTAATGCGGCGGAAACTGTTTTAAGTCTTTCTCGCATTCTCCAATCTTGAACAATGGGTTCTTCCCTTATTTGTGTCGTATTAGAATTATGCAACTTGTCATTATAATATACGTATTTCATTTCGGTATAATTTGAGTCTGCTTCATTTAGCTCATCAATCAATATATTTTGACCCATGATGAAAATCACTTGGAAAATTAATTTGTAAAAAAATTATGTATATAAAAAATATATATATACACAATAAAATAGATTATAGAGATTTCACACTTAAATTTGTTACACTGATTCATTTTATATCTATTCCATCTATTTTTATATAAAAAAATATATTTTTTATTGTATTTTTATTTATAAAAAATTTAATTAAGCAATTAAAAAATATTTATTTATTTACATATTTAAAAATGATTGCAAAAAAAAAAAAGGTTATTTTTCTTCCTCATCAAATTGTGCGCCCTTTTTCCTTAAGCGGCTAAAATAATTAATTGAAGAACGTTAATTTTGTATAAACGTTAACAATTATATGTATATATAATATGTTTAAACATACCGCCTTTTATTGTCGGAGATTATATCTCCCGGTATTGTATGTTTTTTGACAACTTTGTTATTAACAGGGGCAACAATACGTTTTACTATGTATTCATAAATAAATTTTTTTTTAAATGATTGTCATATAATATATGTGTGGGTTTGTAATTATAAAAATAATTCATGAATTATAAAAAAAAAAACTTGTAATAATATTTGTCACCTTTGTTACGTCTAGCACTAGCTTTAACAGGAACCTCGTCGTCTGATTTGATAACGATCGGATTTGAACGTGTCGATTTTTTTGAAGAAGATTCTGCTATTTTACCAGTAACACCATTATTTTCATCTTCCAAATCTATGATTACAATAGGGTTTTTACTTAACGGTTCCTTTATTTTTGTTTTTGCTCTAACATCAGTTGTTGAAGGTGAAGGATGAAAAATTGATGTTTGGATGGTTCTTCCAAGTTCATTTAATGATAATGGGTCTTTTTTAATAAAAATTGGTAGATCTATGTCATCATAGTCATCGGTACTATTATCAATAAAACTCGAATGTGGATTGATTATGTTTTTGGATGGTTTGTTGATTTTCATCTGTGATGTTGCACAGTTAGTATCAATGGAAAATGGATGGCTGTTTAAAAATGGAGGTCGACGATTTAAAATTGGAGAAATTGGAGATGTTTGATTATCATCGATAAAAGTGGGTTTATTCGTTTGTGTTGGTGAAGTTGAGTTATTATTGTTAATGATACTTGGTGATTGATGGTTTAAAATTGGAGGTTGACGGCTTAAAATTGGAGATGTTATACGATTACCATTGATAAAAGAGGATTGATAAATTTGCGTTGGTGAAATTGGATTATTATTATGAACGATACATGATGATTGACGGTTTAAAATTGAAGAAATTGGAGATGTGTGATTATCATCAGTAAAAGAGGATTTGTTCGTTTGCGTTGGTGAAGTTAAATTATTATTATTATTAATATTTGGTGATTGATGGCTTAAAATTGGAGACACATGATTATCATCGATAGAAGAGGATGATTGATGGGTTTTCATTGGTGAAGTTGAATTATTGTCATTAATAATACTTGGTGATTGATGGTTTAAAATCGGAGACGCATGTTCATCACCATCGATAGAGAAGGATGATTGATGAGTTTGTTTTGAATTATCATTATCGTTAAAAGTGAGTGAAGTAGCAATAGTAGTAGGGTTGACGATTTTAGGTTGTTGTTGGTACAGATCAGAAGCATCGAATTTATTGTCATTTATTATTGGGATTTTTGTGTTTGTAGATTGGTCAACGGAAATAGGATTGGTTGTACATATTGGGTTGACTATGTTTTTTGTTGAATTTTTTGATAAATTGTGATCCAAGGGAGCATTAATAGATTCATCGATATTGTTGACTGTTGGAGGTGGTGTATGAATATGATAGTCGGTATCATTTGAAGATGAGAAATTAGTTGGATCAATTAAGTGATTTGATAGATTATGATCCAAATGACGAGCAGCAGCATCGTTATTTTTATGTATTGATGGCGTAGTGAACTGGTTAGTACTATCTGAATGGTTAGTGTGTGTTGGACTCAAAAAATTGAAATTAGAGCTGTAATTAATATTTAATTGTGAGCTACCGATGAATTTTCTATTACTATTTAAGAATTCTTGATCAGATTCGTCATCAGTTGTTGTGTAAGCGTTTTCATCTGAATCAAGGGTAGAAGAAAAGTAGCTATGTTTTAATGGTGCGATAGTAAGAAGGTCTTCACCAGATCCCTTTTCATGATCACTCGTATAAATATCATAAAATAAATCAGATGACGGTAAGACTCTATTCATATCCCTATTGTTATAATTATTATTATTGATTAAAAGCTCTGGACTGATGTTTTCTTGCTTTTGATGTTGTTCTTCCTCTTCCCGATGTTGTTCTTCTTTCCAATATTCTTCTTCCTCTTCCCGATGTTGTTCTTCTTCCCGGTGTTGTTCTTCCTCTTCCCGGTGTTGTTCTTCCTCTTCCCGGTGTTGTTCTTCTTCCCGGTGTTGTTCTTCCTCCTCCCGATGTTGTTCTTCCTCCTCCCGATGTTGTTCTTCTTCCCCTCGATGTTGTTTCTCTTCCTCTTCCCGATGTTGTTCTTCTTCCCGGTGTTGTTCTTCCTCCTCCCGATGTTGTTCTTCTTCCCCTTGATGTTGTTTCTCTTCTTCTCGATGTTGTTCGTATCTGTTACCTGTTGGTAACAATGGCGATGATGGTCCAACACTAAGTGAGACAGATGATAGGGTATCAGGATCATCTATCATATCAACATCATCAAAATTGAAAACATCTTTTTGATTCTTTTTTTTAAAAAACAAAAAGTGACGAACGAGTAAATAAAAAATAATAAGAATGTATAAATATGTATATTTAAATATTTACAACCTGACCCATCTCAGCTCTTATTAACTCAAGTCGGGCATTAGCTATTTGTGTCTTTTCATTTATATCTTTGTATTCTTTAATCTTTTGTTCGATCAAAATATCGTAATTTTTTAATTGATCTTCTGATGACTTAATTCTTTCTTGTAGCTTTAAAGTTAAAGTGGAAGATAGAAAAAGAAGAATATGATATATTATATATTTATATAATAAATGTTTATTATTTAATATAATATAATATAATATAATAATTTACAAGCTCCATTATTTCAACATGGTTTTTATATAAGGAGGATTCAAAATACTCTAAATAATAACATTTAACATTAAAACGAATATGAGTATTATTACGATTATAATTGTTACTAGAAGGACGACAAATTATGATAAGCAGTGATGAATGAACGAAAACTTACGCGTCTTATTTTCCTGAACCCTCTTCTCCAGCTCTGAGCAACGTCTCTCAGCTGCAACCCACTAATTATACATGGATGAAATTAATGGTCGAATATCATGACCAAAAATAGATAATCAATATATATTTTTGGTAATTTTATGTGTCAATCTTGGCCCAAAAAAAGGGTTTTGAAAGCCAATTGTAATGAGCAATAAATATTTATGATATGTAATAATTTACCTTTTCTCGTATTTCTTCCACAAGATGAAGTGCTTTAGTTATGGTATGTCGTTCAGTATTGTCAATGTTGCTGAATGACATTCTGAGATTATGATTATTATTATTTATAAATGCTATATATGTACGTGTGTAGAAAAAGCTTTGTGTATATAGAGGAATTTAATAGTTTTTAAAAAAAATAGTTAAATTATTTTTCCTTTCGTGGTTTGATAGTGTGTGTTGTTGTTAGAGAATATAAAAATTTATTTGTCGTGTAATTGATGCAAAAGTAAATTTTATTGATGCTAAAAATCCACACGCATATGAATAGATTGACTTGATTATACTTTTTATAATTTAATGAAGTTGACAAAAAAAAAGTAATTGAAAAAAAAAAGCTAACCGTAAGACTGTCAACAATTGCTTTTTTTCTGTAAATTGTATTGATCAAATAGTCAAATAAAAGTTTTTTCGTGAAAAAAAAGAAAGACCAACCAATCTTGACTACATTCGGTCAAATTAATGAATGATGTATGTATTGATCAAATAGTAATAGCGCCAAAATGCCTGAGTGAAAGTTTTTTCGAAAAAAAAAAAAAGAAAGGTTAACAATCTTGGCTACATTTGGTCAAATTAATTGATATTTTATTTTCTTCTGTTTGAGAACGGGGATGAATTATCACCGTAAATAGTAAGAAAAAAAAAAGAAGGACCAACCAATCCTGATTACATTCGGTCTGTTTAAGAACGAGAATAAATGATATCACTGTAGATAATAAAGATGATTAATATTGATTTGGACGATGTTAAAGTGTTATTTATATACTAC